CCAGCAATGAACCTCACCGCACGTCACTGGTACTTAGATAAGTATCATAAACAATTCTGGAATAAAACCAACAGTTTTATTGATCATAAAACTGTTTGTGATTATCATAGATGTATTATGAATTATCACAAAACATTGGAAAACATAAGAAAATATTCAAAAATAATAAGAAATTAGCCTTGAAGTAACCAAATAGTGACCTGGTCCAATCAAAATTCTCCTAAGAATGCTGCAGCCGCCGGCCAATCAGCGACGATCTCTCATGTGGAGAATCTGCAGTGAGTTTGTCAGGTTATATGAGAAGCAGGTTGGTTAGTTTTTCAGCGGATGATAAAAACGTCGGTACTGTCTGACGTTTTTTCACAGATAATAATCGCCATGACAGAAACGTTGAAACCAAACCATCGCAGTTTGGCAGCGACTGATTTATGATTTATGTCCAGACACCAAGACCAAAGCCGAATGTTTTCTGCTCCGTATTTTGCCATTTTCTGACTGGACATTGCTGCTGTCGCCCTGTTCAGCCTCATCCAGTTCTTCTCCAAGATGCGGAAATGGGCCGACATGTCCAACCTGTCGCAGGACTTCAGGCTGCGGATGGACCGGCTGGAGCGCAACTTTGAGGTTTCCACGGTGATCTTCCGTAAGTTCGAGCCGATCTTCAGGGACATGTTCGTGAATCCCCAGGGATGCGAAGCACCACGGCAACCGCGCAGCAGGAAGCACAGGTACGGAGGCGATGACGTTGGTTTTAACGGTGAAACCTGTGCCTATGAAGCAGTGCCTTTATTTTGGCAGCCTCACTGTGAGTGTTTGTTGCTTTAACCCTGCAGGCGGCTGCCCTGTCACATCACTGATGTGTTCAAGTTCTGCTGGACGTTGTTCGTCTACACTAAAGGTATCCAGAAATGATCCGCCAGTTTCTGCTGCGTCGCTGTAGACGCGTTTCCTGCTCTCTGCATTCTGTGCTGCAGGAAACAACAATGTGTTTTTATGATCATTTATTCAGTTATAATATATATTCTGAATTAGGGCTGAAACAATTAATCGTGATTAATCAGTTATTGAAATAATCACCAACGAATTTAGTGACTGGAGGAAATGTGTTTTACCCAAAACTCCTCAATTTGCATGTCCAGGCGAAGTCACCTGGACAGGTTGCCAGTCGCCAGTCCAGGTCACCTGGACAAACAACCACACACACACACACACACACACGGGGAGAATTTAGAGACCGATCAACCTGACAGTCATGTTTCTGGACTGAACCGGAGAGAACCCAGCATGCAGAAAGACCCGGGCCGGGCCTGAACCCAGAACCTTCTGCTTCAAGGCAACAGTGCTACCCACTGATCCACTGTGCAGCTGCAATTTTTTATGCATTTCTAATATTGTATAAAAAGGTATAAGTGGTTAAATGAAAAATCTGTAGAATGTGCCAATTATTTCATCTAATTAGTCGATCAATGGTCAGAATAATTGATTACTCAAATCCTCGTGAGTTGCAGCTGTCAACTGAATCGATTTGTGTCGGAGCGATTCCTGAACAGAGTGAATAGTTGCGCTCCAAAACACAGAATGAGGTCACAAAATGACCTTTAGCTGAAAAAATACTTGAATCAGTTTTTGTTCTTGTGTTGGGTTCAGCTGATTTCTTCTTGGATGGTTTTGTGCCGATCCGAACTGAGCGAGGATTCGATTCCCTGCAGGAAACTTCCGGATGATCGGAGACGACCTGGTGAACTCGTACCACCTGCTGCTCTGCTGCCTGGACCTGGTGTTCGGCAACGCCCTGCTGTGTGCCAACAGGAAGGAGCTGATCAACCCCGGCTTCAGAGGTCAGAGGGCACGGCGGCAGCCCCCCGTCTGGGTGGCCCCGCCCCTCACCTGCTGACAGCTGGAGGCCCCAGCAGCCTTAGGATGCAACAAAATGGATGCATGGTTTTGCGCAGACTGGATCACTGAATGTTTTCCTACCTGTGCGTCTGCAGGTGTGCCTCCCTCGTTCCGATTGGACGGCCCCGCCCCCCAGAGCGAGGCTCCGCCCTGCGTCTTGGAGAAGCTGTGTGAGCTGCATGACGGCCTGGTGGTGGAGGCCAAAGGCATCAAGCAGCACTACTTCAAACCGTACATCCACAAACTGTTCCACAAACAGGTCGAGGCTGATCACTAATAACCAGAAACAACCAGTTAATAACCAGTTAATAACCAGTTAATAACCATAACCCAGCGTCATGCTGTTTCCTCTCTGTGTGTTTGTCCATCAGATCCTGAAAGGAAACGAAACGCTTTTCACTGAAATGTTGGATCCTCAGAACTTTATTGACAACAAGTAAGAAACAGAAGCTCCATTTTTGTTCTGTAATAATTATTTTTATTATTTTCTGCTGCGTTTTGCGCTGCGTTTCCCTTCCGGTCCTGAGCGTTGCTTGTGTCCTCAGTAAAGCCATAAATAGGGAGTACGAGGAGTACGTGCTGACGGCGGGAGACTTCGATGAGCGAGTGTTCCTGGGAGCCGACGCCGACGAGGAAATCGGAACGCCAAGGAAGTTTGTTCAGGAACGAGTCGCCGGCCAGGCTGCAGCTCAGAGAGACGGACAGCAGCTGGAGAAGGTACAGAGAGAGAGAGAGAGACAGAGGCAGAGGGGGAGAGAGAGAGAGAGACAGAGGGGGAGAGAGAGAGAGAGAGAGAGGGGGAGAGAGAGAGAGGCAGAGAGGAGGA